AACTGAGGCTATGCATCTCATATTCTACGCCCCTGTTGGGGTGGCACACCCTCATTAGCTCTCCATCAGCTGTGGGCTAATGGGCCTGGCCATACACCAACAGTACTTATGTAGCGCTCACCCCCAAAGGAGCCAGAACAGAACAGGGTCGAGTCGTAGGATCTTTTTACCATTTATTGTACAGGATCAAACAGGAGAGAGGGTTTGGGATTGTAGGACACCCGGGTAATACTTCAGAGGACTCTGTATTCTCCCGTAGCAATGGCTAGATTCAGTAATATGGTGGTCCTGTCAGAGCAACCAGCAATATACAGTAGCACAGAGGACAGCCAGGATAGCCCAGGACCTTGAGAGAGAGAGAACTATCTCTGGACTCATACAGCAACAACTGGCTTCTTCTTTAGCAAAGCACCTGAGAATAGGGTGAGGGATCTCTTAAAGGGTTCAAGACGGTAGCCTCACCAGCTCCTCTGCGACACTCCTCGATAAGTAGATTCCACCTCCAGCCCAGCTTCCATCAGGTCTCCTTTCAGCAACATCTGATGTCCCTAGGCCCTCAACACCTGCCACGTGCTGAGGTGCATACCAGGTTTCCAATAGTAACTTCGGCCTCTAGGCCCCCAGCATCTGCCACATACTGAGGCCCAAGCCAAGCATTTCTATCACACAGGCCTCTTCCCATGGAGGGCCACTAGGGCGGAGAGAGTTCTGGAAAGTGTCCCCTAAACCTTTTATCACCTTCCTTCAGCCATACCTCTGAGTCATCCTGCTCAGGGATTGGCTAGGGTCAGGTGCACAGTCTGAGGATGGATCCTCCCTCACTGTATGCTGAATCCCCAACCCAGCAACAGGGGGAAGCAATCAATCCATCAAACTCAGGGACACCTGTAGAATGCAGAACTCAGAACAAAACAGCATCCAGACTGATTACAGTCCAGATAGTCACTAAATTTAGTAGCGGCATAACAGAGGGCGCTACACTTACAATCCAGGGCAGCTGGTGCTGATGAGGGTATCAGGTGGCCGGAGCTGACAAGTGACAATAGATGGGCAGTAGATGGCCCGGATACCTGAGATCCATGTGGTGCTTCAGGAGCAGAAGCAGGGTGACCCTTCCTCTAGGCTTCATCAGTGGTGAGCAGTGTGGATCATACAGCACTCCAGTCACAGGATGACATCAGCTTTTCATCCCTCAACCCCAAACCCTTCCCCCGAGATGTATGAGGAGGGGGAGGGGCGGCTCCTCCAACAAGTAGGAGCCAGAGATACAAAACTACTCAGACACAAGGAGAAGAATAAAACTAAAACCTCCAGTATGAGCCTATCAGAACTATTGACTAAAAGTAATGAAATGATAAGGCCTATAGATATTATTTCCCATATTGTCACATGGGCCTCGTGGAAGCCATCTTTGTCTGTCCGTTATGAGGTGAATGCAACTTCATTATTCACGGATAAGGACTCTAATATCAGCAACATTTTAAGGGCCTTAACGCAGAGTAAGGAATAGTGGCCGTTGTTTTTAACTGTTAGTAAGTCATTAGTGAGTTTTAGGAGGGCGGTTTCGGTGAAGTTTCCTTGCTTTAACACGGCGTGGAAACATCAGCATCTTTTACATGCAGCGTTAAAGCCTTTAGTCACGGCTGAGCTGCAGGTGATACGCATGGATCTAGTTCATAGGCAGCCACTTGCTTACTGACAGCGTGTCAGTCTATTAAATAGGTCAAGCAAAACAAACGACAAACGCACGCAACAATTTGTCACCAGTTATACAGTAAGGTGCACACGAAATGGGCTTTGAACAGTAAAACAGTAGAAAGGCGTCATGGCACACTCACAAACCAGCATGTAAAACAACTTGTCTCACCACTAAGGACAATAACAGAGGTTTGGATACAATTTGAAATCTTCTGCCCCATGTGCTCCAAGATGGAGACTCTCATAGTTTAGAGTTAGGACCGCACTATAAGAGGTGCCTTGGCGCGGCAGTGCGGCTTTCACATCCTCTGCAGAAGACGTGTATGTAAACCTCTGTTATTATCCTTAGTGGTGAGACAAGTCTATTAAATAGATTCCCATCCCCACCTCCGCGGTGACTAAAGGCTTTCACGCTGCATGGAAGAGATGCTGATGTGTCCATGAAGGTTTTAAAGCAAGGAGTAGAGCCGGGGTCTCAAACTCAATTCACTCGTGGGGCCACTGCGCAAATGTTCTTCTCCCACGGGGACTTCTCTCAGATCATCTCCCTCATTCTCAGGGCTTTGTGGGGTGTTATAAGTATGGAAGGGGGTCACATGTCTGTCCATTGCCAAAGCCCGGCCTTGGCAGCTGAGTGGAATAGCTGGGTCTAGGCTTGACTGATGACCATCCGGGACACTCGACAACAATGACAAGGCCGTGTTCACACTACGAGACGTTTCTCGAGGCTGCAGTTCCTCTGAGCTCCACAAGGTGGTGACCTCACCTATGCCGAGACAGGAAGTCTCTATGATAGGAAGTGATGTCAGGTACAAACAGGAAGTTCCAGGAGAGAAGTTAGTTGTGAGGCCGTATAAAGGAGACATTGCTGGAACTGGCAGCAGAGGAGGTAATAGGATATATATATACCCGTCATGTCTGTCCTCCATAGTCCTGTGACGTCTTTTATCTCCAGCAGATGCTGCTACACACATATATATATATAAAAACAAAACGGAGTATTGTAGTGTGCGATGATACCTTTCTTATTGGACTAACAAAATATATAAAAGACAAGCTTTCGAGAGTTAACCTCTCTTCTTCAGGTCAGAAGCAATACTCAACAAGTACGAGCCAGAGATACAAAACTACTCAGACACAAGGAGAAGAATAGGTTAGAAGAGAGGTTAACTCTCGAAAGCTTGTCTTTTATATATTTTGTTAGTCCAATAAGAAAGGTATAATTGCATACTACAATACTCTGTTTGGTTTTTTTATACATCTTCTCTACTGGACTAATACGGCTTACCCATTTACATGACACTATATATATATATATATATATATATATATATATTTCTGTTCAGGATCAGAACTTTTACCCGATTATGAGGGTCAGAACATTGTCTTCATTTTGGAGATGTGTCACCTTAGCAGTCTCTTGTATGAGGGATGAGATTCAGATTCGGGTTGTTCTAAAATTTGACACCAATTTCCAAGATTCAAATTTTGGACAAATTTGCGGTTGATGAATTGCGCACCTTTCTGTGGATCTGACGCAAGTTCCCGATACTCTATGGTGTGAATGAGGACTTAGTTTGGTGCGTCGCAGTGGTGGCTCCATCTTCCTCCTCCCAGGACAGAGGAGACACTATTCAGCCAGCATTGCCGATGTCCCCTCTTCCTCCTCCTACTCCAGGACGGTCCTCCAGAACCCGGGACTGTTGGTGGGTAGGGGGCAAGAAACCCAACAAACACTGTGTGACCCCCATCTACATGGGGCAATTCCCCCTGGGGGCAGCCCACCTATTACCCCCATCCTAATATTATACAACCAGTACAGTCCAGATAATTCTCCTCTATCCGTCCACAGAGATCACATGACCACATCAGTGAAGATGGAGGAGGAGCGGAGTCACTTGACTGAGAGGATACTAAACCTCACCCTGGAGATCATCTACCTGCTGACCGGAGAGGTGAGGAGGATTCTGGGAGGTCACATGACATCACTCTTATCTCTATTAATAAAGCACAGACCTGACCGGAGAGGTGAGGAGGATTCTGGGAGGTCACATGACATCACTCTTATCTCTATTAATAAAGCACAGACCTGACTGCATACTATGGTAGTCCAATATGCTACATGTCTAATGCACTAAAGCAGAACATCTTTAACCCTTTTACTGCCATAGCTACTAATAAAATTAGCCAATCCCCGATTGTCACCATGCCTGGGAGACCTAAAGGTAGAGGCCGAGGTTCTTCAAATGCAGCCAGAAGGTGGCAAGCAGGTTGTCCATCTGCAGGTCAAAGTGATAGTCAGGCAGAACCTTTGAGAGGCCGGACACATCTCCCCTTCCTGTCTGGCAGTGGCCGTGCCATATAGCCGGAACATGGACGGTGGTGGTGGAGTGAATATCCAAGCCTCCATCATCATCATCATCATCCTCCTCTCAGGTCCGGAGTAGCTCAGGGTCATCTGCAGCTACAAATGTTCCCTCTTCTTCACCATGTCATCCCTCCTTCACCATGCAAACTGACATGAAGGAGTCGGTGGAATTATTTCAGCGCGGCTTCCGTCACTTGCTGCAGGAGGTTGGGCAGCAGTTGATGTTGAGGAAGAGGACGCATGTCACACGGGGAGGGGACAACATGCAGGAAGAATCAATTGCCAGTGAGGTTCCTGCAGCTTCCTGCCCAAGTGGTCTCCAGTGATGAGGAAGGTGGGGGGGTGGTGGATGAGGTAGCAGATGGTACCTGGGGGATGTAGAGGAAGAAAGTGAGGGAGAGGCACAGCATCAGCGAGGCGGGATGTCATCCAGGGGCAGAATAAAGAGTAGCGGAGGGAGTGTCCTGTCATCCATTACTATCTACTGCCACCACTTCTGGCCTTCCATTTAATAACATCGTTTGCCACTGCTGTAGACCTGCCATCTATTTAAATCTCTTGCTACTAGAGATGGGAAGTTCGAATCTTTTAAATGAATCGATTCATTCGAATCAGTTCATTCAAAAGAACCGATTCATGAACCGAATCTTCGATTCACTTGCTGAGTCGGCTGACAAGCCAGTGATTGGAAGCTCAGGAGCCGTCTGATCCTTCATAGAAGATCAGAATCAGAAGGCTGATTCAGAGAAGGGTGTCGGGCAGCTCCCGGGGAACATTGATCGCAGTGCTCAGAGCTGTCACAAGTCTCATCTTCTGTCAGATTTGCCATTCTATCAAATCAGCCAATGTGATCACAAAGTGACGCGCAATCAGCTGCGACAGTGAGAAGCGTGTTCCTGCGCAGCGCATTCTGATGAGGTGATGTCACAGCTAACATGGCTAGCGGCCAGATGTGTCCATAGTCTTTACAGTGTATGGGTGTGAATAACGATAGGATTTTACTACTGTGGCGCAGTACCTGTGGTAGTGAAATCCAATCGTTATTGTGTTCTAAACACTAGGGACAAATCTGACCGTTATCTATGTTGGCCGTGACAACAGCTCATCAGAATGTGGTGCGCATGCGCAGTAATGCGCTTTGGCGCAGTTGATCGTGCGTCACCCGAAGTGATAACATTGGCTGACCTGATAGATTGGCCGGTCTGACAGAAAGTCAGCCACATAGGTAATTGAACATAATACTGTGCGGGATTTTCTTTTTTTTTAAAAATAAATTCTTTATTTAAGTATTTTTTTCACATTTTTATACAAATTGTACAAAACAGGGTATAGTATAGCGCTCAGGGATAAGAGATTGAGCCATGTACAATATAGCAACAATTATGCCAACAAACATTACATCACATTACAACACATAGAGTGATGTCAACAGGTATGAAGCGACCCTTTACATGGAGAACCGGGGCAGAGGGCACCAGGGCTCCCCCGCATGCGGGGGGTGAAGGACCCCTGGGGTGCACCCCCGTCAGGGCAGTAGTAGCTTGAGTCGCGATAGCTGAAAAACCGGGTTTGGGTAATTCGGTATCCCGTGATCATTGTGAGAGCGTGGTGAGGTTTTACTACACAAATGGACAGGGTAACCATGGGAAGATGGGGGCGTCATGGAAGCTATCGGTTTGTGAGGGTCACATAAGGTAGGAGGGAAGGAGGATTAAGGGTTGGGGAGGGTGCTCATCGCGCTAGGGTATGTGGAGTTGGGGTAAAGCCGGGGGGAGCGAGGTCTTGAGTAAGGTGAGTGTGGGGGGACGGGATCCCGTGTCCACATCCTGGTGCACGGTGCTAAATTTATCAGAGCGTGAGGTAGTCAGGGGATCTCACGAACTCCATCCAGGGAAGCCAAGTACCAGAGAACTGGGCGTTGGTGTGTTTGAGGGAGCTCACGAGGTCCTCCATGAGGTAAATATCGTGCATGCGGTCTAAGACCTGTCTGATCTGTGCAGGATTTTCTAATAGACCCGTAATGTCTCTATAAAGAGAGCCTGTCACCTCCAAACGCTATCACTTAGGGGCATGTTATCCCCTGTGTGACGGCAATAACTTTAAGTGAAAAAATATGTTAGGTGAAAAATTATAAAATAAATAAAAAGTTAAAAAACCAACTCGGCATCTGCATGTAAATAAACGTATGAAAGGTATGCATGTGTACGTAAATTATGATGGCACCCCTCATGTTACGTGTCGCCGCAAACGTCTAAATGAGAGCAACAATTCTGGGGACACAATTCATTGCCAACGGTTGCTTAAGGGTTTGAAAGCGTCACCTACAGACAATTTTGTGTAGTAGACATGTGCGATTCGTTTCGTTACGAATCGAAATTCGTACGATTTTCCTGAAATTCCGAATTTCGGAGCATCCGAAATCCGAATGGCAGTTTCCGAATTATATCCGAAATACGAAATTCCGTTAACGAATTTCGGATTCGGATTTCTTTGAAACGGGAACTGATATTACCCCTGTAAATGAGGTTGGGAACAGCATGACAAGATTTTTTTTTAATCCGAAATACGGATCCGCTGCTGCTGAGAGTTACATTACAATACACAGGCAGGAAATACGAAATTCCGTTGACGTATTTTCGTTCCGTTACGAACATTCGTTATATTGAAGGTAAAAAGCAAAATACCTTAATATATTGGAGTTGATGGTAGTTATTTTATCCGAACTACCACTCCAATATTAACAAAGGTATTTTGCTTTTTAACTTCATCATAACGAATGTTCGTAAAGATACGAAAATATAACCGCCACTAACGAAAATTCGTATTTCGTACGAATCCGAATCGAGTTCAGTTACGAATTACGAAATAACGGATATTCCGAAACGAAACAGAACAAATGTTTTGACGGCGCACAAGTCTATTGTGTAGCATAACGTTTCACACGCATTACACAGGCGCATGCAATTTTTACACTTACCATGTTTGGTATCTATTGACTTGATGTGACCCCATCTTTTATATTCTACAAGTATATTAGGGGTTTTTGTTTTTTGCTTTTTACATAAAATTTAACCATTTCTGTTAGTTTTCACTTTGGGTATTTAAAGTGACATTAAACCCTCAGATTTTTTAACATAAACCAATACTGTAATGTGCGCCTTACTGTAATCCATAGTTGTTTCCCTTCTCTTTGCTGCTCTTCCTTTTAAATCTGTAGCTCTTCTCATGCTGGGGGAGAACTTCTGTTTTGCAGCAGACTGCCTTGTCTCAGGAATGGATACACGGTGTCTGTGTATAGGTTTGTATAGGTTTGTAACCTGAGCCAGCACTACAGGAAGAGGCCCTGAGCTGCAAAGGGAAGTTCTCCCCCAGCATGAGAAGACATGAGGATTTAAAAGGAAGAGCAGCAAAGAGAAGGGAAACAACCATGGATTACAGTAAGGCGCACATTACAGTATTGGTTTATGTTACACAATCTGAGGGTTTCATGTCACTTTAAGCTTGTCCTCCCTTTTTGATGACCTTTTTTTTTTCAGTTTTCATCAGTCTGATTAGAGTGTTCTGTGTTATAACTATTACAAACTGCCCCCCAAGGTTGGGGGGTGCGGGGGTTGGTTGGGTGAAAAACTCAGGAGTGGAGGAGGGGTAAATAATATAATTAAAAAGGAGGTTTAAATGTATTTTTATTTAATTTTTTAAAAAAGGAGGCGGCTCTCTCATTTAGTCATATAGCTACTGAATGAGACGGATGTTTCAGAAGGGATGATTGTCTGTTACCTTTAACGTGCAGATCTCCTCGAGAAGCCGATTTGATCCTGAAGGCCTGGTTCACACCTGAACGTTTTGTAGCGCGTTCAACGCTCGACGAACGCTCTACAAAACGCTCAAACATCTAAATCCCGTTGTAGTCAATGGGTCCGGTTCACACCTTGCCGTATTTCCGCCCGTCCCGAACGCGATACAAAACGGCCTACGCCCAAAGAAGTACATGTACTTCTTTGGGGCGTTTTGGTCTTGCGTTTTCATTGGGATACAGCCAAGTAGCCCTCGGAAACGGGCGCTTGTTGCGCGGGTTTTTTTTAACCGCAAATCGCGGTAAAAACGCACGACAAACGCGCATATTCAATACGCCTAGGTGTGAACCCAGCCTAAGGGTTAATTCAATCTGAATGAGGCTCCTCCTCTAATCTAAACTCTGTGTCATTTCTCTTATCTCCCTCCCAGCTGTCTGTCCCTTATCACTGCTGCAACCTGCTGCTCATTAGACTCAGTTGTACTGGTGGTGACGAACGATTCTTTGAACTCTGTAAGCCCTCGTTCACACCTGACCGTTTTGTAGCGCTTTCTACGCTCGACGAACGCTCTACAACACGGTCAAAAATATAAATTGCATTGTAGTCAATGGGTCTCGTTCCCACCTTGCCGTATTTCCGCCCGTCCCTAACAAACCGGCCCACGCCTGAAAAGGTCCCGGGACTACTTTGGGCCGTTTTGTAGGGCGTTTTCCATTGGGATACAGCCAAGTAGCCTCGCGGTAAAAAAAACGCGCGACGGTCGCGCATATTACAATACGCCTAGGTGTGAATGGGGCCTCCTCTGATGGCTCACGATTCTTTAACTAAAATAATCAAACGAGTCTACTAACTAAGTAGAATCAGTCGATTCTTTTAACCAGTAGACTCGTTAGATTCTTAGACTCCGTGTACTGTGACTCATAGCTTGCTTCACAGATCTGATTGGTTGCAGGGCTGGGCTGGGAGAAGCTGGCAGAAGCCTGGCATTTCCTTTCAGTCTAGACCAGTGGTGGCGAACCTTGGCACTCCAGCTGTGCCAAAACTACATATCCCAACATGCATCTGCCTCTGGGAGTTATGTCTGTGGCTGTCAGAGCCTTGCGATGCCTCATGGGACCTGTAGTTCCAAAACAGCTGGAGCGCCAAGGTTCGCCATCACTGGTCTAGAAATCATATTACAAGTGCCGCTAGAGACTCTCTGCTAATCTGCTATATGTCGCGTCACACGGAGCTGCTTCAAAAAACGGATCGGCTCACTCAGGTGAATCGACTCCACCAGTTCACTGAACAGAATCGATTCAAAAGAACCATTCATTCATGAACTGGACATCTCTACTTGCTACAGCTGCTGGCCTGACATCCATTATCATCTCCTGCCACTGATTCATTGCTTCCTGTACAATATTTCTGCCTTGTGTCTCTGACATCATCCAAGGAAATTTTTATTGCAAGATAAAAAGCCCCTCATCCCTCACACCTCAAATGCAGCCTACTAAAAAGGCTTACATGATGTGCAGCGTGTCTCTGTAATATTTCTGCTTTGTGTCTCTGACTTCATTCAATGTAATTTTTCTTTCTGAATGAAACAATGCCTCATCTCTCCATCTTCATATCTGGCCTACAACACAGGCATACATGTCACTCTACATAGTCACATAAAATGGAGGTCATCTCCTCACTGAACGGTATTGTTGTTATTGGTACATGTCCCCAGAGCAGAGCCCAGCTCGCTTGCTCATTAGGCTTAAAAACAGAGAGAATTTATTTCTAACATTTACCTTCTATAGACTTCAATAGCAAGTTCGTCCATCACTAGTCACATGACTTCACTAATTGCTCTACCAATACACAGACCTGACCGGAGAGGTGAGGAGGATTCTGGGATTCTAACATGATATTCCTATTGGTTTCTCCATCCAGAGTTTTCCTCTTCTGAAGTCAGGTGATCATGTGACCATCACAGTGCCCCCATGTGACTCCCTAAATCCTGAGAGACACAACATGGAGAAGATTCTAGAAGTCACCAAGAAGATGATGGAGCTGCTGACAGGAGAGGTGAGCGGTGCCGGGAATTCTGGGACATGATCCAGGAACAGACAAGGGATGTGTCTGGATGGTGACGGTATCATTGTGTGTGTCAGGTTCCTATAAGGTGTCAGGATGTCTCTGTCTATCTCTCCATGGAGGAGTGGGAGTATCTAGAAGGACACCGGGATCTCTACAAGGACGTCATGATGGAGGATCAGCCGCCCCTCACATCACCGGGTAAGAGGAGAGAGCAGTACGGAGGGTCCACCTAGATCCCCCATCATCTGATACACACATAGAAACAATGTATTCAGTCAGTGTGTGTGTTTCCTACAGATGGATCCAGTAAGAGGAACCCACCAGAGAGATGTCCCCGTCCTCTGTATTCCCGGGATCCCACCCAGGAGGACCACACCATCCCCCACCATGATCAGGTAGGTGGAGATGAGTGATTGAAGACTCTGACATGTGGAGATGATGTGTGGACTCTACAAGATGAGACTTTCTGCCATTCTGTTGGTTTAGGGTGAAGATCTGATGAAGGTGAAAGTTGAGGGTGACGTAGAAGAGAAGTATGTGAGGGATGATCAGCAACATACGGAGGAGGATGGAACGATGAGGACACTCAAAGTGGAGGACACTCCTACAGAGATCAGCACAGGTGACCCATAATATATTCTTCTCTTATCTCTGCTCTGTTCCTGCACACTGATTGGTCCAGAGTAAGGCGGGATCTGAGTGATATCAGCCAATAGTAGGTTGGTAATGGTCTGAATTCCGAACCTCTTGTTTATCAGAGATCACATGACCCAGTGCCTAGGCTTGTGGTTGGGTGAAAAGCATGCTCCTGCCAGTCCCCATTGGCCCCGCCTCTTCTGACAGGGCTGTGTAAATGTAGAAGTGATCTGGGAGGAGGACCAAAGGCCCTTTGACTGAAGAGGGGAGGAGTCCCAGCTGGTTGGGACCTCCACAGAGAACATCTGCTCCCTCAGACCTCCTGATCCAGATGGAATGTTGAGTGAAGTCATCTAACCCTCTCATATCTCTCCATCATGTGTTTCTATGTTTCCAGGACACGCCATGGAGAAACCCTCAAAGGATCCTCTGACTTTATCTCCAGGTTGTAAGATGGAAGATGAGGACATCACAGCAGATTGTGCGGGAGAAGAGACAATGAGCTCAGCTATGGATGGTGGACTTCACAGTGTGGATAGAGCATGGAATCCCTCTGACTCTGAGCAAACTCGTCCTGTGGGGGATGGTGCCGGAATTCAGGGGGTCAAGATATTTTCCTGCCCCGAGTGCGGGGAAAGTTTTAGCTCTGAATCAGATCTTTGTGTTCATCTGAGTTCTCACATTGGTGACAATTCTTTTTACTGTTATGACTGTGGGAAATGTTTTCTTCGAAAATCAGACCTTGTCGTACATTACAGATCTCACACGGGGGAGAAGCCGTATTCTTGCCCTGAGTGTGGGAAAGGCTTTGCTCAAAAGAGTGATCTTATCCGACATCAGAGAATACACACGGGGGAGAAGCCGTATTCCTGCACTGAGTGCCAGAGAAGTTTTTCAAATAAGAGCCATCTTAGCGAGCATCAGAGAGTACACACGGGGGAGAAACCATTTTGCTGCTCTGAGTGCGGGAAATGTTTTTCATCAAGCTCATCTCTTAATACACATCAGAGAATACACGGGGGGGAGAAACCAGAAAAGTGCCAGAAAAGTTTTTCAAAAAAGTGCCATCTTACCAAACATCAGAGATCACACACGGGGGAGAAGCCGTATTCCTGCCCTGAGTGTGGGAAAGGCTTTGCTCAAAAGTGTGATCTTATCCGACATCAGAGAATACACACGGGGGAGAAGCCATTTTCCTGCACCGAGTGCCAGAGAAGTTTTTCAAATAAGAGCCATCTTATCGAGCATCAGAGATCACACACTGGGGAGAAGCCATTTTGCTGCTCTGAGTGCGGGAAATGTTTTTCATCAAGCTCCTCTCTTAATACACATCAGAGAATACACACGGGGGTGAAACCAGAAAAGTCACAGGAAAGTTTTTCTAAAAAGTGCCATCTTACCAAACATCAGAGATCACACACGGGGGAGAAGCCGTATTCCTGCCCTGAGTGTGGGAAAGGCTTTGCTCAAAAGTGTGATCTTATCCGACATCAGAGAATACACACGGGGGAGAAGCCATATTCCTGCTCAGACTGTGGGAAAGGTTATTCACGGAAAGCCGATCTTTTCAGTCATCATTGTTTGCACAAGGATGAGAAGCTATAGTTCTACAATATTTGCAAGAGCTTGCGCTAATGGAGAACAATAGTATTAAATAAATAAATTATAATATATGACCCAAGAACTCCAAAATGTACAAAAATATGATATCTATAATTTTTTTTAAAATGGTGTACGAAAAGCTGCTGAACTCAGGCACTAGGCCCCTATAGTGAAGATGTATTAAATAGTACAGAGCTAAACGTCCTTCGGTGATGGATATAAGAAGATTAAACTGTTATGATCCCAGTAGACAGAAAAAATGTGTCAAATATACTCCTTGAAAAATATACTCCTGGAAAAACAAACCTTTAGGACGTTTAGCGCTATAGTTCTACAATGATTGTGGGAAGTGATTTCTTCATAAAACGCTCAGACATTATACATCTCATATGAGTGAGGGAAACATTTTTCAGAGGAGATCCATCTTTTTGTACATCAGAGATTGCCCGAGGCATAGAAGCCGTATTGCTGTCCTGTGTGTGGAAAAGGTTTCTCATGGAACTCCCATCATACTGAATATCAGATGAGACACGTGGGTAAAGCTGTTTTCTTGATGGTACAGCACAGGACGCAGACAGATCCAGAGACAGATATCATCAGGTGAAACTGGAATAATTAGAATATGGTGCAAAGTTCATTTATTTCACTAATGCAACTTATGCGGTGAAACTAATATATGAGACTCATTACATGCAAAGCAAGATAATTCAAGCCGTGATTTGTCATCATTGTGATGATTATGGCTTACAGCTCATGAAAACCCCAAATCCACAACCTCAGAGAATGAGAATATTACATGCAATCAATAAAACAAGGATTGTACATAGAACAATATCGGACCTCTGAAAAGTACAAGCATGCATATGTACTCAGTACTTGGTTTGGGCCCCTTTTGCAGCACTTACTGCCATTACTTTTGCACGATATTCTAATTATTCGAGTTTCACCTGTATATGCAGATATCAGGTGATTGGACACAGGCCAAGGTCTCTGTCTATGTCTCCATGGAGGAGTGGGGGGATATAGAAGGACACCGGGATCTCTACAAGATGGAGGATCAGCCGCCTCTCACATCACCAGGTAAGAGGAGAGAGCAGTACGGAGGGTCCACCTAGATCCCCCATCATCTGATACACACATAGAAACAATAAAAGCTTCCTCTCTGCTGGAACCTGAATTCCAGTGTCCTCAGCCCAAACCTGCCTAATTATTGGACAGAACCAATATCTTAGGACAGAACGCTAAACCCCTCAATCATCAGACAACACCAATGTGGAAGTGGAAACCAAGATCTGCTGTATTGAAGAAAGCGCACAGAGTTTATATCTCACAGGATCAGATAAGAGTTCAGTGTGTTACACTGAACAATCCCCTCCCCTAGACAGCCGGGTGCCGCATTGGAATTCCTTAAGCACAGACACTCTTTGAACCTAATAAATGTCCCTAATTAGATAAGAGCTTGATCCCATCACCCTAAACAATGGCCCCTCCAGACAGCCTGCTGTCTTCACAATATTGCATTTAGCAGAGATGGTATCCAAACAAGATGGAAGTCCGGATGGTTCAAATCAAGTCAAATAGTGACCTGCTCTCTCTCTCTCTAGATAAAATATTAAACAGGAAAACACTCACAGCAAACAAAGTTCTCCGGGGTAATAAATCTCTGCAGCCCTAGGTCAGTAGGAAGGAGGCTAGTGTCAGGGTACCAGGGGTCTTACCACTCCTCGGGGTCGCCATGTGCGGCAGAGCACACGGGTTCTCCTTCGTGGCAGGACCCCTGGCGCCAGGGTTGCGGGTGCCCATGCGCGGAGGACAGGCTGCGTGCGCCTGTGCCCATTACTGGTGTCAGGTGGGGGCCTTGCTGGGGGAGGTTCCCAGCACACACCCTCTGCCTTTCTCTTGCCATTGGCTCCTGGATGGAGAAGCTTTCTGGTTGCCTCGGTAACCAGGGGGTGGTCTTAGTTCCCCACTGGGTATAAAAGCCCAGTCAGAGCCCTGGCTCATTGCCGAGTTATTCTACCTATATGGTGCATCTCCTAGCCTCCTGTGTTTTCTGCTGCTGCTATTTCCTAACCCCTCGTCTGACTTCCTGTTGCTGACTCTTTGGCCAGCCTTCCCGTTCTTGAACACAGCCGCCTGCCTCGACCCGGACCGGACTTTGACTTCGCCTTTAGATTGCCCCTTTGTACCTCGCCTTCGGATCATAACCCGTTCCTGCCAGTGGATGCCGCTTCCCGGCCCAGGCCGACGATTACCTCCGGGCAGCTAGACCCTCGGGCTCCTCCAGCAGCCCCAGTGACGGTCCAGTCCGTCACACCGTTTACCTGTTACCCTCATCAGCACCAGCTGTCTTGATTTGTAAGTAGTGTCAGTGTATGGCCAGGCCCATTAGCCCACAGCTGATTGAGACCTTATGAAGGTGTATGGCCAGGCCCATTAACCCACAGCTGATTGAGACCTGATGAAGGTGTATGGCCAGGCCCATTAGCCCACAGATGACAAGACTGGGATAGGTGTAGTAACAACAGGTAACCACCAGATGGAGCTAGAAGGTTGTGACAGACATAGGGGTATTAGACATGCTCCTAACAAGGGCTTCATGTATAAAAGTTCCACTCGGCATATAGCCAGCCCAATGCTGGTCACATGGCACTAGCATACCTAGATGGCGCTGAGGAGTATAGGAATTCTATAGTCGGCACCATCTAGGATTGCTAACATGGCCGGATTTGCTCTCTCTGCTGCCACAAGGCCAGGTTCCTCAATGTCGGGTAACACAGACTGAGAATCCCATCGCTGGGATCTGGCATCAACCGGTCAGCCGCCCAAGCGAACTGCCAGTCCGAACCAACTGATGTCCCAACACGAAGGCCATCGGGACTAGGCTCCCGCAGCACACACACACCCCCCTACACTGAGGAGCTTGGGAGTCCATGGTCATACCACCTCTGAGTAGTATGGGGGGGGTCACTAGGACCGACAATGCGCTCAGCCAACCTCCCAGATACCTCCAAAGCAGTGACCACCCGACACAGGTCACCACATACCTCGGAGAATGCAGTGACACCATTCAGAAACCAGGAAGGCTCAAATGGAGCTCCCCCGTTTCCCGGAACATCATCACTACCAGGTCTGGGCTTGCGCTCATGATCACCCCACCTGAAGTGGATGCCCAGGCCCCTCGGCTGCAAGGGGCACAACCACGTCACCAAGACCAGATCAGACATTGGGCGAAGGTCCCACAAAGTTCAGCTGCACAATCAGCCAAGGCACCGGATCAGCAGAGGAGCTGGGCAGCAGGCACTGGATCAGCAGAGGAGAGGAGCTGGGCAGCAGGCACTGGATCAGCAGAGGAGAGGAGCTGGGCAGCAGGAACCGGATCAATGGAGCCGAAGAGCTGGACAGCAGGCACAGGATCAATGGAGGCGAGGAGCTGGGCAGTAGGCACAGGATCAGCAGAGGCGAGGAGCTGGGCAGCAGACACTGGATCAGTAGAGGCGATGAGCTGGGCAGCAGGCACAGGATCAGTAGAGGCGATGAACTGGGCAGCAGGCACAGGATCAGCAGAGGCGAGGAGCTGGGCAGTAGGCACAGGATCAGTATAGGCGAGGAGCTGGGCAGCAGGCTCAGGATCAGCAGAGGCGATGAGCTGGGCAGCAGGCTGAGGATCAATGGGTTCCCACTGAGCAGTGGATTAAGGAGCAGTGGGGTCCAACTGGAGAACGTACATAGGGTTGACAGAGTCCGGAAGGACAACAGAAAAACACTGCTCTGGTTGAAATGGAGTCTCTGGACATGCGTTATGGTGCAGAACAACTATAGTGGAGGCCAGAGGGCAGGAGGTCTTAAGAAATGGGCGAGGACCCCACTCGCTTGAATGGGCCAGCCTGTTCAAAAAATGAAGGGAACCTCTTGGGATGGTGTGGCGGGATGTGAATAATGGAGGTCCCTTGAATAAGGGGTTCTTTTGCCAGGGAAGGCTGGGCAGGCACTGAAGCTGGAGCAGGCTGGGCTGGCACCGAAGCAGGAGCAGGCTGGGCTGGCACCGAAGCAGGAGCGGGCTGGACTGGCACAGAAGCAGGCCCTACTGGAACCGAAGCAGGCCGGACTGGAACCTAAGCAGGAGCAGGCTGGACTGGTACCGAAGCAGGAGCAGGCCGGACTGGAACCTAAGCAGGAGCAGGCCGGGCTGGAACCGAAGCAGGAGCAGGCTGGACTGGTACCGAAGCAGGAGCAGGCCGGACTGGAACCTAAGCAGGAGAAGGCCGGGCTGGAACCGAAGCAGGAGCAGGCCGGGCTGGAACCGAAGCAGGAGCAGGCCAGGCTGGAACCGAAGCAGGAGCAGGCCGGGCTGGAATCGAAGCAGGAGTCACTGCGGTTGTCATGGGCAGCATGGTTAAAGATGATCCGGATCTGGAAGGGGGACTAGACTGCATGGACTAGGGATGTCCCGATACCACTTTTTCAGGACCAAGTACAAGTACTTCCCCTCATGTACTTGCCGATACCAGTTACCGATACTTTTTTTTTTCTTTTTTTTTTAAAGAGACAGGTGACTTTAAATGATCCGTAGTACGACTACATGTTCTGTACTACGGATCATGATTGAACCTATTCATGTTAGCAGGAAAGAATTGTAACTCTATTGCTGGAGTGTAGTGGAGGTGTGTGCTGTATATATGTACTACATATACATTACACACGTCCAGTACACTATAGCAATAGATTTACAGCCGGCCCCGTCCCAGCTTCCCTCACTTATGCTGGGTTCACACCTAGGCGTATTGAATATGCACGTTTGTCGCGTGGTTCGCGGTAAAAAGACCGTGCGACAAACACGCATTTCCGTGGGCTACTTGGCTGTATCCCAATGGCAACGCGAGACCAAAACGCCCCAAAGAAGTACATGTACTTCTTTGGGCGTAGGCCGTTTTGTATTGCGTTAGGGACGGGCGGAAATACGGCAAG